GACCAGAGTTCAAGTGGTAAGGCTGCTTCATGAAGAAGGGTTTTAGTAGTTTCAAGAATATGGTGATATCAACGTTCACCTATGTCAACACGTTGTGGTGTGTAGGGAGGTTAAATTAAGTGTTCAATGCCATGTTTCTGAAGATAGGGTTGAAGACCGATGAACTCACCCCCTCCGTTTATATAAATTGAAGAAATTTTCTACTAAAGGATGAAACTTGGTGAATATTAACGCAAACTCACTTTTATTTTAAATGTATTCAACCAAGTATATTTGGTGTATTGATCAACAAAAATACAGTAATATAACTTTTTGTCGAGCGATAAAATAGGTGATGGTTCCAATAAATTACTAAAGACAATCTGTAGAGGAATATTAGTGGATAAAGTGAATCGTTGGAATGGCAAACGATGCACTTTATTAGACGAATAAGCATTGCAAAATTCAAACTTTTCTTTTCTAGCAACAGGTAAAGAAAATTTCTTTAGAATAAAATTTAAAATTGTTGAGTGGGGTTGACCCAATCGACAATACCAAAGTTGAAGTGGGGCTTTTGTAGAGGCAATGTGAATGGACCATTTTTTGGATGGCAGGCTCAGCCACTCATAGAGTTCATTTTTTGTTCCAGACATGTACTAACGGCTCCAGAGTATGCAGGTCCTTCAAAACAAAGTAAAAGAAAAAAAATTCAATAAATGTGAGCAAGGGTGGCCCAAGAAGATTGGTAGCCTAAAGTCAATTTTTAATTTGGGGCCTTTCATAAAGAAATTTTTTTTATCATAACATCAATGATTCATTCCGATGTTCCTACACATAGAACAACACAATTTAACGCAATTATCGCACAATAACTCACTTAAACCAACAAAATATAGGGCGAGTAATGTGCTAAAAGTATAGAATTTTGGCCTAACATCAGTTGTTAATAGTTTCTTTTATAAATAATTTAGTCTCTCCTAAGATATTGTTGATCTTAGATAATAGAATCAAATTCATATAGATACCTCACTAATGATGTCACTCGTAAAATTTAAATAATGAAAAGTTTTATATTCGCGATAAGGGTTTAGGGGGTGTGATTCTCTTTCTGCATTTTTTGCTCAAACGGTTACATCACTGCTAAATTAAAAGTTATCTTGACTTTTTATAAAATATTTTATTTTTTATTTTAACATACCCAATATATTTAGACCATACCTCTAAAGATTGTTGTGAGAAGTATTTGATCCAACTTACCTTAATTAAATATATTGGGTTTAAGTCATGCGGTTAAAAAAAATCCTGTTAAAACGTGTTCTTTCTTTTACTAGTCCTTACGCGGTACGAATCTGAATTAGTCGGGGTCTCAATACAAATACGAGTAGAAAAATAAAATAAAAATTTGGGGGCCTAAAGCCTTTGCTTTAGTGGCTTGACCCTTGGGCCGCCCCTGGATGTGAGGTTATCTGGACAAAACTTAGCATCAGAAATGAGATCCTTTTTAATTTATGGAGCATAAAATGTGTCAGAAAGCTTAAAAATTAGTTTTAGATGCCTGAATTAGAGTTGAACCAATGTGAGTAATGAGAATGGTTTTAGCCTCACCCATGGATATTTCTTCAGTTCCCGTATACTCTTCAAGGTTGTGGGGGCTTGATAGTGATATGGTGAGTGGCACTAGAGTCTAGAACCCATGAGTTTCCGGTCGATTGCAGGCCAGACACAAAGTTAGACTGAGCTTCAAGATAATTGTGCAACTTGGAGCAACAAATATCTGCCATGTGACCAAACTTTTGGCACGATTGACATTTGACAGATTGCTTAAATTGTCTCATATTTTGCTGATTGTTTGAATTCAATTGCTGATTGTTGGAATTTCATTGTCGAGACTGAGATGGTTTCCATGGCTGATTGTTGAAACGAGGATTGTTTCTGTTGCATTGAGGTGTTGGATTTATGGGCAACAACAACTGTGATCATAGAGGATGATTTTTCTAGATCTTGATGTTTGAGAAAAGTTCATGATCTGTGAGCTTGTGAAATAATTCTTCAAAGCTCAAAGAAGAGTCTCGTGCGCGTATCGCATAAGAGATTTCGCGGTATTTGGGGCCAAGACCACTTAGAATTTTGACAATAAATTCATCATCATTGACAGGTGAACCAGTAACTTTGAGAGCATCAGAGATAGAACGAACTTTCTGTAAGTACTCTGCAACGGTTTTAGAAGCCTTCTTGGTATTTTGCAATTGATCCCGCAAGCTAAAGATGTGAGTATGAATTTTTTTGGTGTAAGCCGTGTGAAGGAGTTCCCACGCTTTGTTAGCAAATGATGTTGTGTCAACGGTTGGGGCAATGATTGGATTGACCGATGCCATCATTACTTGTTGAATCAATTGATCCTGAGAAAACCAGAGCAGATAATTGGGATTTACGACAGTAAGATCACTTTAGGTAATAGCATGCGATTGAGCAATTGTGGTTCCATCAAGATGTCCCATGAGTTGATGCCCATTTAGTAGCATCACAAGTTATGTTTTCCATGTTGGGAAATTGAGGTTACCTTAAAGTTTAATAGGTAACTGAGCAACATGATTAAATTGTACCACATTAGTGGTGACAGAGGTTGCTGGACTGCTGGCAGCAGCAACATCACCATCACCAGAGTTGGTAACTGGAGCCATAGATGAGAAAGCTTAAAGGGAATGAAATGGATCTAACTTGGTGGAGCTTATTGAAGCTTTGATACCATATAAGATTTAGATGAGAAAGAGGTCAATGGATAATCTGATTGAATCTGACAGTAGGCTTTTAAATACATAAACTACAACCAACTAAAGCTAAAATATAGGCAACTATCTGCTAAAGAAGCTCCCACATAGTAGGAACAAATAACTGCTCCTAGATATGCTCCAAAACATCTGGAGGCTTATTCAAACTATAACAAACTAGTAAATGAGTTAGTGAAAATATACATAACATATGAGTTAGTATAAATTAATAAATATACATAACGTAATATAGTCAATATTAACAAGTTATAGATATAAGAGTCAAACTTGAAACATCATCAACAATCGGCAACTACATAAAAAACAAAATCGGCAACTAAAAATACTTAAGGTATCTCTCTTCTGATTACACCAGTCCTTTGCTTTGCAGCTGTACATATTAATCATAATTAAAATCAGTTTTCTTCAAATTCCTCGCCTTAATCAAACTAAACTTGAGAACAACTAGCCTCTAACTTCATCTTGCATCCTCATCACATCAACTGCATCAATAACCAACTGAGCTCAGCTAAGCAAGAAACATGAAATGTACAATACAACTAATCCAACGTTTTCCATATTCAGGTGAATTGAGGAGTTCAGTTGACTCATATGAGAGCCGAGAGGTCTTGTGGCAGCAGAAGACATTAAATTACTCCTACTAGTATTTCCTAAGAAGTAGAAAATTAATTAATGGAAAGCTAGCTAGTTCTATGTAAGAAAAAATATTACATATATATGCTGAGAAAATCTAATGCTTTATTCATCAATATGTAGAACCAAACACTTGGGACAGTCCATCAGACATTACCAACAAAGTCTATATGACTTTAATAGCTACTTGAGGATGTTCACAAATCATATGCTTATAACAGGATACAATAAATAAAACAGACCACATGTTCAGGTTACATCAACTAATCCAGAATATAAAAATAAACAGAACTTAGTGAGTCGAGCAGATGAGCAAAGCCAACAGAGATGATCAATACTACCTAATTATTGAATCACTCAAAATACAGAGAAAACAAGGATCATGGATCAACTGGTCACAACCATTACCTTCTATGGAAACTCTTTCGGAAGGTTATTAAAGCAAAATAAAAAAGGACTACATCACTGTCACAGCTGCAATCTTATATCAATACCAGGGAAAGGGGTCTTGAAAAAAGTCAATAATCCAGCCGTAAAGAACCTAAAAATAAAATAAGGAGGTGAAGAAAGAAAATAACCTTGGTAAACATCATTTATTTTTAAAAATAATTTAGTTACAAAAAAAAAATCATGTTGTTTCTGAAGATTAAGATGACGAGACTAAGAAATGCTCGATTAGTTTCACAACTTTGTTTGTGAATTTATATCAATTACAAATAATTTAAGTCAAAATTAATTGAGATTTGTTATTTCACACATTGAAAGAGTTTGTCCGAGCTAATCTAAGAAGCGTAAAATTAGCCTTACTGTTGGATAATAAAGGCCCAATTCTCTTATTAGTAGATTAATAAGTATTTATTATTGAGCTGTATAGTAGTATAGACAAATTTTGTATTAGTCTGTAGCCCATTGGTAATTAGTAAAGACCCGCCCCAACTGCTTTATATATAAAAGAAAGCTATCCACATCTGAAAGTTTCGGATGCTCATTTTCATTTCAATACAGAAAAGTTTCGGATGCTTATTTTCATTTCAATACAGAAATGTCTTCTCTCAGTTCCTCATACTAAAATTCTCCATTGTTTGATTTTCAATGAGTTTCACACTTACAACTTACAAAGAGTTAATTTTGTAAATTTCCTTATTGATACTAGTTCTTTGCAAATTTATCATTTTATCCCTAATATCTTTTCTAATCTCAAAATATTTTTTTCAAAATAGAACTCCTAACTCCTTCTCCATTCTCATCCGTTCTTTTCCTTGAACATATGCTTCTTAATTTATATTGTTTGTAACGAAGATAGTCATTTTAACAAAAAAATTAATTATTATATCATTTTAACAAGAAAATTAATTATTATATCTTTTTATCGAGTCACATCAACAACAACAACAACCTAGTATAATCCCACTAGTGAGGTATGGGCCCCTACCCTGGGTAGAGAGGCTATTTCTGATAGATTCTCGGCTCCCTCCCTCCAAGAACTCCCCACCTTACTCTTGGGGTGACTCGAACTCACAACCTCTTGGTTGGAAGTGGAGGGTGCTTACCACTAGAGCAACCCACTCTTCTCACGTCAATTTCTTATTATCAATTTGATCACACAAACACATAACTGTTCTTTTGTAAAATAAGTTTCAATAACAAAAAAGTGCATTTCAGCACTTCATTCTTATAGTTACCTGATCACCTAGACCAAACGGTTTCTAGTAACGTTTTTTTTTTGGTTTCCAGTAACTATTAATTAAGGGCCGATGGTTTTTTTAATAAACAGTCCGCAAAAGATTTGATTGGTGATCATTGGATGATACACGATATCCATGATACACAACCATTGAGAACCAAATTAAAGAAAATAACAAAAACACATTTAAATATCTCTAACAAGATTAGAGACAATAGAACTCTTATTCTCACTCTATGTCATAGACAACTTATATATATCACTGACGTGAGTTCAGTTTTGCTTGATATATTATATTCCCATAGATCGTGCTTCTTCACTTCACCTTTGAGCAATCAGCTTTAGGGCTAATCTTGAAGGGAATATTTTTGACGCCACATTTGCCAGGGAGGGCAGCAGCATTCTTGAAGTTGATACCACTAACACTTGAGGTAGCGGTTTTCAAACACGAGCAAACACTCCGGCGATCCGCCGTGGTCTTTACGGCGCCGTAGAGGGATTTAATCCCCTTGCAGCAAGTTGGCGGCACCTTGCCGCCGTTCACTACGTAGCTAAGGCACGGAATTAGGCCGTTGACCACCGTGCTACATGTGATTGCCGCTTCGGCGCGAGGTGCGGCCGCTTCTAATAGTACCATGTAAAGGAGCAGCAGAGAAAGAGGTTTAACAAGCTTTCTCGAGATAGCCATTGGTATTTGATATTGGATGAATAAATTATTAAAATTGTTGGTTTCAAAAGAGAATGAAGCTTTTGGTAGCATTGCTGAAAGGTGATGGCCATTATATATAGGAGTGAAGAATGATGGATAAAGAATCTTTACGTTGACAGATTTTGGTTTGCGAAAAAAATTATGTTGGAATTATAATATTGCAGGCATTATAATAATAGGAGTAGTAATTCTTGAACTATTTAATACTTACAATTTATTTGGTTCATCGTTTAAAATGCAATATGCATGATATAATTTAAAATATTTATTTGATTTTAAGCTGGATAAACTTTTGTTTTAATTTTAGCGTTAACTTTCTCAATAACATAATTTTATCATTTTAATTATTTTAATCCAAGTAGAGTTAATACTTAGCATTAATATGAAGATAGAAATTTCTTAGAATCGAGGTAGATAAAGCCTTTTATTTAGTGTAAAGCAACTAAATTAGAACATTTGGAATTTATTACTATTATTAAACTTGAGAAGATGGTGTATGCATTTTGACGTTACTATTTAAATCAAAATAAATCACATACGCTATATGAACATAAATTTATTTTATTCCTAACAAATAATGTGCTAAGTGTTTGACCATGGGAATCGGGAAGCTAAATTGAAAGGGCATATTCTCCATCATCCCGAATGCAGGAGTACATTTAGAATAAAACTTGGCATTATAGCCACTGATGTTAAAAAATAAAATAATAATAATAAATAAATTCAAACAGAAGTTTCTAAAAGTAATTACTTGCTTTCTTCCACTAAATAGTGCTTCTAATTATTATGGCACCATGCTTTCACCTAATCCAACTCAGTTTAAAGATCAGGATGTCAATATTTTAGAGAAATAGAAAAGTAGTTTTTAATTCTAATTTTTTTTCCTCCTTATCCCCAGCTCCTTTCCTTTTCCTTTTTCTCCTTTCCTTTTCCTTTTTCACATTGCGAGAGTTACCACCAATAAACAAAAGAAGTTTTCAAATTTAGCTTCAACTGTTTAGGACATAATATTTGAGTTGTTTCTATAACTTTATATTTTCTCTGTATATTACACTCTTTATATTTTGGTATGTTTCAAATGATTGAAATTATTCTATTTTTATACAAATTTTTAGAATTTAAATTCATTAAACTATTTATCCTTTAATTTCAATATGATTTTTGCTGTCTTTTGGAGCGCTACCTTAATATTATTATCCTCCATCATCATTAACACATTATATAAATCAAATACTTTGAACCTATAACAAAAACCATTCACATAAAATTAAATAGAAAAGTACTAATCAAGACGTCAATAAGTCAAATATTTCATCATGAGATCCCAGCAAAACAATTAGTAAATTGGTCATAAGTCATAACTTCCATCATAACATCCCCACAATTGTGGTATATTTTTAAAAAGTTTTTCTTTTACATAATTACTACTAGTATTTAAAAGCCTGCTCCATAAATAAGTTTTGCAGAAAATGATTGTGCGCTTGATCTGACTGCTTCCGAAATATGAAAAACATTCAAACTATACAATGCTTCAAAGAATTCAGAAATTATTGATAAGCAAATGCCACAGTAGTCATGATGAAATATTTCCTACATAACTAGCTTTTAATTTGTGGAATAACATAATAATGGTACAGTGGCAAGTACACCATAATTTCCACCAACATACCATATTTTCAACTTTGGACTTTGGTGGTTATCAACAAAAGTAACATGTTATGAGAACTAAAGTTGGTGGGTTATATAAAAGTGTTTTTACACGTATAGCCGATCATATTAATTGTTTATTTTTTCTATTTTGCTATTTGAGTTGATTCTTCCTCTATAAAACATTCATTCTTAGCAATTAACTATTGGAATGAAAGGGGAAGGAGAAGTACAATATGGAAAGTAAGCGAGAAAGGAGAAAGAAAAATTTGAAGGGTTAATATCGTCCAAAATATTTTTATATCTCAATTTTCTTGGGAACATCCAATATGAAGAAAATAAGTTCCGCATCCCATGAGTTAACTGTGTCCTATGTGGATATTGGACTACCATAGGCCCTTAAAGAGGAAAGAAATATGCGAATAGCCACTTTTTTTATTCCACTAATTAACATTTAGCCATAACCTCAAAACTAATAAAAAGTTCAACCATTATTTAATGCCAAAATAAAATTTGAACAATAATACGCCTAGCTAAAACAAGAAAAAAAATTCAGCACAGTGCTGTGGATTTTCAGAGCTTCTTGCTTGGTGTATTTTGCTCAAATATTATTTCCACAAGTAGTTATTTTTCAATTACATTTTAAATAATGGCTAAACATTGAAAATTGATTCAGAAAGTAGCTAGCCCACTTAATCTTTACCTTAAAGAGTTGCTGGATCACATCTCCAAGATAATGGGCTCACGAAGCGGAGCCCATCCTAAGGCTTCACCAAGTCCACTAACATGGAAACCTAATCCTTTTGTTTTCCTTGCAGGAGCAGCAGATAGAGGGTTTAGACTTTAGAAAAATGGTGAACAGATTTTATTACTACTTCCCGTTCCAATTTAGATGAGCCGGTTTCATTCGGCATGTATTTTAAGATTTTTGAAACTTGGCGTAAAAACTTTGTGATATTATTTGTGTGATTATTAAAATAGATAATATGAATAATTTAAAATTCAATTATTTACCATTGTATGTCATTATTTTTGGAGCTGGTAAAGTGCGGCGTCAAAATTGAAAGTAATAGGTGGTGGGGAGAGTTCTACCATCGGAGAAGGATGAGCACCCGAAGATCTACCGCATGAAGCTTTGGGCAACCAATGAGGTCCGTGCCAAGTCCAAGTTCTGGTATGTTCTCTTCACCTCCTCGCTCTTGCTCCCCCCCTCTCTCTCTGTGTGTCTGTACTGTATATGGTATTGATTGATTTGGCGTGAAAAAGGTACTTCTTGAGAAAGCTAAAGAAGGTGAAGAAGAGTAATGGTCAGAACGAGGTATTGTGTTTAAATTTATGCTACATTCTTGATTGGGATATTTAGCTAATTATTTATGCATTTTGGGTTTTTTATAGCTATTTGAGTTATTGTTTTCGTGTTTTATGTTTTATTTGCTCTTTTTGTTCTTAAATTGGTTATCTGCTTAAATAGTGCCACTATTCTGTGCTATTCTCATTCGTAGTTATGGTACGAAAGTTAATACTAGTTTAATTTGGATTTGTATATGAGGTTTGTCTAGGTGATTGTAGACCATTGACCTGTACATTAATGTGTAAGACATTTTGCTTATGACCTTGTGAGGCAAGTCTCTTTATATTACAAGAGAATGTTTACTCCCTTTCCCCATAACAAATGAAAGGTGTATCGAGGAATAGGGTCAAATTATCCAATAGCAGTTGCAATTTGATTGATTCTTTGATCTATTGGAAATAAAATTTGATTAATCATAAGTTATTCCTTCCATTCCAAGAAGAATGAAACTATTTTACTTTAAAGAGTTAAAGAATCATGCTATATTATGATTTTCTCATATGTTTATTATTTCCTCTATTCCATTTTATGTCACGTCCCAAAACCGTAGGACCTGATCGGCATCTGTCAACATGCCCCGTTGAGCGAACCCACATGTACCATCCATAATACATCATCATCATCATATTAGGTCTCCACTTACCTCAACCTTGATGTATAATCAATCTCACTTAGTCCAACATGTCTCAATCAAGTCAATCTACTCTAATCATAACTTAAACATGTCATTTAGAACTCAATGTAGCCAATTCATATTTTGGCCCGACCCACTAAATTTTCCAATTCAAATACTAGGGTAAAGTCTTGATTCAACCATTCCGTTCTCACTTCACATATAGACTATTCAATTCATTTATGGTCTTACAATATCAACCAATTCATCCAACTACTATTCATCATCTTCTTCGACTTTGAACTATTACTATAAATACCCCTTAACTAATACATTTATTTAGAGTATGGGTTAGATAAGTTTGAATTTTGAGTTAAGGAGATCAGTGTGAACCTTTTATTAAGGGGTATTAATGTCAAGAGTTGGAGAAGATGATGAATAGTAATTGAGTGAATTGACTGGTCTTGTAAGATAGGGAGTTGTCAAAGGCAAAAAGTTCTGAAAAAGCGCTCTGGGTTTTATTGGGGCTTTAAGTGCTAAACATAGTTTAAGTGTGAGCTTTATTAAAGAAAGGTGCAATGAAGAAAAGAAAAAAGATATATATATATATATATATATATATATATATATATATATATATATATATATATATATATATATATATATATTCAAGAAAAAAATAACATATCCATCAATAATGTTTTTCTTAATAACTAATACGCTTATTTGACGATTATATTTGTAGTTCAATATTGCTCGATTTAAGATAGAACTCATGGGCATAAGGGGCACGCCTTGGTGTCTTGCCTACACGGAAGCACAACTTAAGTGAGGCAAAGCGCTTTCTCTGAGCTTCAGGGCTTAAGTGCACCTTAAATTAGCCTTTGACAACACTGGTAAGACACTAAATGATGCGAACAGTCTATATGAAGTGGGAATAGGTCACGTGAATCAAGATTTTGCCCTAGTATTGTAATTGAAAAATTGGGTGGCTTAAGGCTAAAACCCAAAAGATGAATTGGCTACATTGACATGTTTAAGTTTTGATTAATAGTCTAGTTATAGGGCTTTGCAAACTTTCTTGTAAAGTTAAGATAATGGTAGGATGAATACACTTATTGTATTCCTTGAGGTATAATACCTAGCTGCAGTTGGGCTTGTATAACTGTTGTTACACCTCCTTTTTTTGGAGAGTTTTTCAACTAAAGTGACATTATTTGAAAAAGGATTATTTTATTATTTTTGGCGTCACCACCCGGAATTGAGTTATGGTGTTCCGAGAGTCATCTTTTTATTTAAATCCCTAGTCAAATGAAAGTTTGACTCCTTATTTATGGTCCGCAAAAATAGAACACTGGGTAAGAAAATCTGTTGACTAGGGAGAAGGTGTGAGGTACTTCCCGAATCTTGTGGTTGTAGCAAGTTCGCTTTTATTAACTCAAACTTGGCTTAAACTAATTTTGGATATTTTTGTGCTTTATTGGTTTTTATATTTTGCCTATTGTCAGCTCATTATTGCCTGATTATTGAAATTGTGGAGAAATATTCTTAACAAGTCAGGCGGATGTGTCCTTGTCTAATTAGGTGTCGAAGTCATGTCACGCGTACGTGTACATAATCAAAGACGATTTTATAGTATTTTGAATTATTTGGTTAATTCGCGCGAACACATGCGTTGCCTTAATTAAGAGTTATGACTATGTTACATGGACGTATACATAGTCACAATGGTATTTGGTTCGTTGTACCTAAAAGCTTTTCTAATTAATTTGGAGTTATTTTACGGAGAAATGCTTATTAAAGAGAGATGGGCCAACTTATGTTATTTAAGGAAGTGGGCATAACTAGATTCTTTTGGCCCAAATCATTTTATTGAAAACCAGTCCCTGCATCCCATCGATAAATTAAATCATCGTAGGCCCAAAACTTCGTTGCTTCTTTTATAATTCAACACCCAAGACCTAATTCGTTCAGCTGAACCAATAAACACAAGCCTCATTTGTTTTTTTTTTAAAGATTAAGACGTCTGAATCTGAATGCATATCTGAATATCAAAATTTGTATTAAGATTAAGACATTTGAATCTGAATACGCATTTGAATATTAAGATATGTATTAAGATTTGAATACTAAATGATTAAGACGGTTTGTTTTTTAGCATCTGAATATAAAAAATTTATCTTTATTTAAAATTAATAAACATAAAATTCAAATAAAATACTAATTAATCTAATATTCTATCAATAACGTAGGTAACTAATGGAGGTGCTTGTGAATGCCGACTAAAGACGTGGTTGTTGGTGGTTTTGGTTGATGGTGGTGGTTCTGGGTAGTAGCTAGTGGTGATTGGTAGCAATAACGATTATGGTGGAGGATAGTGGTGGTGCATGGTGAATGTTAATAATGGTGGGTGGTGGCGATGGTTGTGGTTGTGATTGTGATTGAGGAGAGTGATGGTGGGTGGTGGTAGTTTATAGTGGTGGTTGCTGATGATGATGGGGTGATTGGTTGTGGTAGTTGAGGTGGGTGAATGTGTGGTTGTGGTTGGATGATGGTGGTGGTAGTTGATGATAGTTGGCGGTGAGAGTAATGAATGTGGATGATAGCATCTCAATGAAATTAAGTCTTTGTTATGGATCTTAATCATACAGATCTATTCAGACTCATTCAGTGGTTGTAAAGTAAAAAAACACACTTAATAATTAAGATTTGATTGATTAAAACTTAAACTTTAAAAACAAACACTTAATGTATGAGATCTGAATGATTAAGATTCAGACTTCCATTCAGTGCAAACAGATGAGGCCTTAATCTCCTTAACTTAGTTAAAACCCAATAATAATAGACAACCAACATAATGAACCTAACTGAGCAATTCTAACTTATATCTTTTCATGACAATTTTAGCATATGCTCAAATATAATAATAACCTACAAAAAAAATAAAAAATAACATGATAAGTGAAACTCCATTTGATCACGTCGATGCAACTTCATTTAGAACAAAAAAAAAGAAACAGAAAATCGAGCAAATACTATTCAAGCATCAACAAAAAAAAATTGTAAATCAAAGAATGCATAGAGTTAGAATTGGACCTCAAAAAATTGCAACTTTCAATTCATTTTTATATGGCTTCCAGCTTGATTTACAGAGCAAATGAATGATTGTTCTGAAAACTGCTCAAAGACCGAAACCGCCACTGGAGCTCGAACAGAAAAACCTCGCTTGGACCTCAAGCAGAATCGTGTTGGGCGACCTCGACTCAACTCCCAACACTGCTGTTATATGCATGAAAAGGGAGCTGTTTGGAGCTGCATTTTGGAGCTATTTCACGTAGGTTTGGTTTTGTAGTGGTTTAAGTGGCTGATTTCTGGTGGTTTTGGGGCAGCGTTTTGGACTGTTTTGCAGCTGATTTTTGCTGCTCTTTTTTGGCTGTTTCGCAGCTGATTTCTGTTGCGTTTTGGGTGCTTTTCGGGGCTATTTAACTGGAAAAGAGAGGCTGTTTTAATGGTGGTTTATGGTGGGTCGTAGCTGCTGGTTTTTAATTAGTTTTCACGGAGTTTGTGGGTTTTAGACTGGTTTTTGGTGGTGAAGGAAGCTGGTTTACTGCCTGGAGTTTGGCTTGATTTTTGTGGTATTTTTTGGGCTCGTTTAAGCTTGTTTAATGCTTAAAGATTGAAGCTTTTTGCTCCGTTAATGATTGTTGGTTACATGGTTGTTCAATGGAGAAGTTTGGGGCTAGTTTTGAGTGCAAAAACGTGTGAGTAAGAAGAGAAAGTGCAGTTGCTGCCTTCTTATTTCTTGATAGCCCTCTAGAGTTTTCTATTTGTTTCTCTGTGTGTGTGAGTTTTTTTCCTTTTGAAGAAGAAAGGAGCTGGCTGCTTATGGGAATGAAGATATTGCTAACTTAGGTTATTGTGGAGGAAGAAGTGAGCTCGGGAGCTACTGCCGTTGCAATTCTTTCTCTTTTTTTTAGCTCTAATGTAGTCTAGAGGTGTGTTTGGTATGAAGGAAAAAATTTTCTTCGGGAAATGTTTTCCCTGATAATAAGTGGGTTTCTTACTTATTTTCTGATATTTGGTTAGGTAACAAAAATATTTTTGAAAAATATATAATTTAGGCAAACACTATATGAGACAAAATGGATAAAAGTGAGGGATGGTGGTATATCGGGGTCTAGGGGCTGGAGTGGCGATGGCGATATTGGGGTGGGGGTGGGGGTGAAGAATAGAGCGGAGAAGGTTGAAAAAGAGTTATGGGAAATGATTTTCCTTTTTTTTGGTACGGAAGTCATTTTCTTTCAAAATATTTAAGCCAACTAAATAAGGAAAAATTGGATTCATACCCAACACACCCTAGGTCTTATTTTTTGTGATAAGTATTCCTAATATGTCTCCTAGGTCTTGGTCTTATTGCGTGTGGATTAGTTGCAGTAGATGTAAGAAATTTTCAAGAAGTGGAGTGTAGATGCTTGTTGGATAAGGAAGAAAAGGAAAAAGAAATAAAATAAAAGGTAGCTTCCTAGAAGGTGCCTAATGTAGCGATAAGGATAAGATAATGATGTGGTGAGATGTTTTTTGATAATATCTATTTGGCTCTTATCCGTATGATTTTGAATATAAGAAAAATAAAATTCTACTTTTATTAAATTAAAATAGCAAGATAAAAAATGCTAATTAACTACTTCTAGTCCAAGTAAAAATATGAAAACAACTAATTAAAATGAAATGTATTTTTTTGGTGAATTTTCTTTACTTTTTTGCAAACAAATCTAATATTCTAAAAGTGTACTTTTTTTGTACTTTTCAATTTCATCAAATAAAACCCACTAAAAAGGTCAAAAAGTCAAGATTAAACTTAGAAATATTTAAATACTAAAAGCGGTGAAAAACTAGAATACAGTCAAAATTTAGGTCTTAAGCTCTCTAGAATTTGGCCGTATTCAAATTTATCACCGCGTTTAGCATTTTGATCCTTATTTTATTTTTAGAAGGTTTTATTTGATAAAATTAAAAACTACAAAACAAATTACATCTTTAGATGGTTTTGGTTTTAATTTGCAAAACAAAAGAAAAATTAGTGAAATTATTTTTTTTTCTTAATTTTAGTAAGTTAGCGATTTTGAATTATTCTTTAATAAATTTTAGATTAGAAGTAACAAATTAGTATTTTATTTTGTTATTTTAATATAGTAAGAATATGATTTTATTTGTTTCCTATATTCAAAAAGAAGATCATCAAACAAGCCAATAGATATTTTCAAAGAACATTCCACCATTTCATTATCTTTATCCTATCCCCACACTAGGTACCTTCTAGGAAATCCCGTTTTATTTTATTTCTTTTCATTCTTATCCAGCAAGCATATTCCCTTAGAATTCCTCCGCCATACCTTCTTGAAAATTTTCTACATTCCATTTTTTGCTCATTAAGCTAGCATACACTTACGTTCTATACACACAATTACACTTGAAAAAAAGAGCAAAAGAAACGCTAAGAGAATAAGCACCCACAACTCACGTTTTTTCCATTGATCTTCTACAAGTGTGTGTGTGTGTATATATATATATATATATATATATATATATACTAGTTTCTCGACACGTGCGTTGCACGT